GAATAGATTCCAGTCTGTAACTCACTCCCGGGTATCTGTTATTCTATGCAAACCACCCCGAACCCCTCGATTAGATTACAATCTATATCTCAATCCCAGGTGTCTGTTATTTTACGTATAAATCATCTGAGCACCTTGATTAGAATCACTCCTAGGTATCTGTTGTTCCAAACATAAATAATCTGAATTTATGAATTAGATTCCAGTCTCTAAATCAATCCTGGGTATCTGTTATTCAATGCATAGTCATTTATATCAATTTTTTAGGTACGGTACAACAAAGGGGAAACAGTGGCTGATATATATTTGAATTTCCAAACAAAAAAGGTCATTGAATAAGCTTCCACACATAAGGATACTTTGTAAGAGAAGAGCCAGTAGTGACGGGGTGTTAGGTGAGCACGGACAGAGGATTGTCCAACTACTAGAAGACAAAGTGTAAGGATAAGACATTATGTTCAGGTATTGAGAGGATATTGAGTGGCAAAAGAACTTTGTAGATGGAATGTGATGTGGGGAATTTTGAGGTAATGCACTTTGACAGGAAGAATACGAGAATGACGATAATTTAAATAGGGAAGAACTATAGAAAGCTGCAGCATAGAGGGACTTGGACGTCACAGAAAAGCTAGCATCCAAGTTCAATAGATCATAGGGAGGGAAAATGGAAGGTTGGCATTTATTGAAAATGGAAAGAAGAATGAAAGGAAAGAGGTCTTGATAAAACATTGAAATAGAGAGAGGCCGCGCAGAGAGGGGCAATAAATGAAGCATAGACACAGAGAGGGACCAAGACAAACGGAGACAGGGGTCAGTAAGGGACAGTTTGACTAGCAGCTGAAGTTGGAGTGTCAGATACAAGAGGAACATTGTCTGAAGAAGATTAAAACCAAGAGCTCAGAATCAGTCTGATAAACAAAGAAAGACTTTGACATAAGCGAGCAGCAAAAGGAAATCGGGGAGACAAGAAAGTCTGAGGGAATGGATGAGTTAGACAGAGAGAAAACCAAGAAATGTGGTTGGAGACAGAGCAAGCCAGGTAGAGACAGTGAGGGAGAGGGGAGAGAGAGGGAAGTGACAGAGTGAGGGAGAGG